TAAAACACGGGATTGTGTTACAGCATAATGGTGGCTGATTAATCAATGATACTGTGCTTTTTACACATCTTCACCATTGTCAGATTTCTTAAATCACTGCTGAGCTTAAAATTAAGTAATTTCTCAAAAAATATTGTTGCTTATCTTTTTATATAGTCATGTCTAGTTCTCATTTTTCGAATTTGAAAATGAATTTTCGTTCCTATTTTATTTGGTGCTTCATGGAGACGGGCCCGATTTTTCAGTAAAAAAAGTTATTTTTCCTAAAAAGACTTAATTTTTCAAATATTTTTCATTCCATCTCTGTTCGAAGAAAGGAAAAAAAAAATCTGAAACTACAGACAATTTTTTTAATAAATTAAGAAGAACAAAACCTTTTCGACTAAATGTATTGCGTCCTTCCCTTTTTACACGTGATCATGAACGTGAAGTACGTCGTTCTCTTATAACAATGTAAATGTACGTGCTTTACGTCGTTCTCTTATAACAATGTAAATGTACGTATTTTACGTCGTTCTCTTATAACACGTGTAAATGTACGTGTTTTATGTCGTTCTCTTATAACACTTGTAAATGTACGTGTTTTATGTCGTTCTCTTATAACACTTGTAAATGTACGTGTTTTACGTCGTTCTCTTATAACAATGTAAATGTACGTATTTTACGTCGTTTTCTTATAACACGTGTAAATGTACGTGTTTTACGTCGTTCTCTTATAACAATGTAAATGTACGTGTTTTACATCGTTCTCTTATAACAATGTAAATGTACATGTTTTACGTCGTTCTCTTAGTATACGTGTAAATGAACGTTTTTTACGTCGTTTTCTTATAACAATGTAAATGTACGTGTTTTACGTCGTTCTGTTATGACACGTGTAAATGTACATGTTTTACGTCGTTCTCTTATAACACCTGTAAATGTACGTGTTTTACGTCGTTCTCTTATAACAATGTAAATGGTCGTATTTTACGTCGTTTTCTTATAACACGTGTAAATGTACGTGTTTTACGTCGTTCTCTTATGACACGTGTAAATGTACGTGTTTTACGTCGTTCTCTTATGACACGTGTGAATGTACGTGTTTTACGTCGTTCTCTTATAACACGTGTAGATATACATGTTTTATGTCGTTCTCTCATAACGTGTAAATGTACGTGTTTACGTCGTTCTCTTATAACGTGTTAATGTACGTGTTTTACATCGTTCTCTTATAACACATGTAAATGTACATGTTTTACGTCGTTCTCTTATAACACCTGTAAATGTACGTGTTTTACATCGTTCTCTTATAACACATGTAAATGTACATGTTTTACGTCGTTCACTTATTAAACGTGTAAATGTACGTGTATTAAGTCGTTCTCTTATAACGTGTGAATGTACGTGTTTTACGTCGTTCTCTTATAACACGTGTAGATATACATGTTTTATGTCGTTCTCTCATAACGTGTAAATGTACGTGTTTACGTCGTTCTCTTATAACGTGTTAATGTACGTGTTTTACATCGTTCTCTTATAGCACGTGTAAATGTACGTGTTTTACATCGTTCTCTTATAACAATGTAAATGTACGTGTTTTACATCGTTCTCTTATAACAATATTAATGTACGTGTTTACCTCGTTCTCTTATAACGTGTAAGTGTATGTGTTTTACGTCGTTCTCTTATAACACGTGTAAATGTACGTGTTTTACGTCGTTCTGTTATGACACGTGTAAATGTACATGTTTTACGTCGTTCTCTTACAACACGTGTAAATATACGTGTTTTATGTCGTTCTCTTATAACACCTGTAAATGTACGTGTTTTACGTCGTTCTCTTATAACACCTGTAAATGTACATGTTTTACGTCGTTTTCTTATAACACCTGTAAATGTACGTGTTTTACATCGTTCTCTTATAACACATGTAAATGTACGTGTTTTACGTCGTTCTGTTATGACACGTGTAAATGTACATGTTTTACGTCGTTCTCTTACAACACGTGTAAATATACGTGTTTTATGTCGTTCTCTTATAACACGTGTAAATGTACGTGTTTTACGTCGTTATCTTAATACACGTGTAAATGTTCATGTTTTACGTCGTTCTCTTCTAACACATGTAAATGTACATGTTTTACGTCGTTCTCTTATTAAACGTGTAAATGTACGTGTATTACGTCGTTCTCTTATAACGTGTGAATGTACGTGTTTTACATCGTTCTCTTACAACACGTGTAAATGTACGTGTTTTACGTCGTTCTCTTATAACACGTGTAGATGTACATGTTTTATGTCGTTCTCTCATAACGTGTAAATGTACGTGTTTACGTCGTTCTCTTATAACGTGTTAATGTACGTGTTTTACATCGTTCTCTTATAACAATGTAAATGTACGTGTTTTACATCGTTCTCTTATAACACGTGTAAATGTACGTGTATTACGTCGTTCTCTTATAACACGTGTAAATGTACGTGTTTTACGTCGTTCTCTTATAACACGTGTAAATATACATGTTTTACGTCGTTCTCTTATAACGTGTAAATGTACGTGTTTACGTCGTTCTCTTATAACGTGTTAATGTACGTGTTTTACATCGTTCTCTTATAACAATGTAAATGTACGTGTTTTACATCGTTCTCTTATAACGTGTTAATGTAAGTGTTTTACATCGTTCTCTTATAACACGTGTAAATGTACGTGTTTTACGTCGTTCTCTTATAACACATGTAAATGTACATGTTTTACGTCGTTCTTTTATAACGTGTAAATGTACGTGTTTACTTCGTTCTCTTATAACGTGTAAATGTATGTGTTTTACGTCGTTCTCTTATAACACGTGTAAATGTACGTTTTTTACGTCGTTCTCCTATAACACGTGTAAATGTACACGTGTAAACGTGTAAATGTACGTTTTTTACGTCGTTCTCTTATTACTCGTTTTAACGAACGTGTATTTCGTCGTATTATACATATTGTGAAGACCTGTGTATAAGTGTCAATCGTTTACGTATGTGACGGTGCACGCGTATCTATACACATCACGTTTTATTAGTGTACGCCTATGATGACAACACTTTGGCATTCGTTTGACAATGTACATTGTACACGTATGTTACAGCAGTGTACGCGTACACTGAGCACATCAATCATTATATGTGACAGAGCACATCAATCGTTATATGTGACAGAGCACATCATTTTTATATGTGACAGAACCTATATGTGACAGAGCACATGCGCATGTGGACGTCAATCGTTATTAGAAGTTCGACACAGTGAACATATGGCAGTGTACGTTTTAATACACAAGGCAATTTTTGTATCCATGTGTGACAGTGTCGTCTGCATGTACATACTAAAATATCACATGCTTGAAACAGTGTACTCATATTTGTGCATGTTATTTTTTTATTACGTGAGTGAATGTACGTTTGTAGGATACGTTAATATTTATTATGCGTGTGTGACAACGTATCCGTTATTTTTATTAACACAAAAACGTATGACACGTGTATTATCGTACGCGTTTAATGACAGCTATTGTTACTGGTAAATTTAAGTCTATGTCTTTATGTACGTGTGTGACAGTAAGCACGCGAACCAGTTCTTACACTTTTGTGACGACGAACACGTAAATGTACGTGACAACTCTTAGAATATGAGTGACAGTGTACAATATAAACTAGGTTCCATGAGTGGTTGACATTGCACGCGTATCTGTAAACACGTATGGGTCGGTATACGCGTACACGCCAATACACTTTTTAAAAGTTTGACGTGGTACGGGAAATTCATCATAACGCGCGTTCATAATAGTGTTAGGTATACTTTATGTACACTTAAGCCGTATTACGCGCGTGTAACCATACACGCGAACATGTATTAGACAACCCCTATTTCACGTATTAGATGTATGCGTACTGTACACTAACCCTAACTACGCATGCGTGATTATATTCGGAAAAGGTAGACAACACTACTTCCATATGTGTGGATTCAAACTTGTTTAAATGGTCGGAAACTGCTATCAATAGTACGGTTGACTATACGATATCGTTGACTCAAAAACAATGCCTATGGCAAAGTGAATGATAGCGACAGGCCAAAAGAAGTGTTAACCTGATGCATTTCTTCATTGTACCTCACCTCGATCTCTGAACATTTTGCTTAATCCCAAACTAAAGTACATATATAATAGTTAATGTTCGCATGTGGAAGGGAGACAACTCGGTCAATCTACAGCGTACCCAGTCTACCGCCAGGTGGTGATACTGTTTAGTATTAATGAAAATGGCGGCGACTGTAAAAGTCAGTCTGGAATGGCATATAAAAAAACTCATAATTTTCTGATTTTTCCGGCTACAACCGTAATGCAGTTCCATTTCCGTGGTATTCGATGTCAATTGCTTTCACTATAAAATAAAGATAAGTTTATGCCTAAATCCTATATGATTTGCCATCACGCATTTTATAGGAGCTACTGATTAAACGTCAGTCAGATGGTATCATAAGATTTCTGTCGCAGCACCCGTTTTACAGTGAAAATGTGATAAAGGGGACATCATTTTGTAGCAGAACCGCGAGCAAAAAGAGGTAGACCTGAATTGAAAATCAAATGGAAAAACACATGCTAAAGTTTATCATGTTTATCCCACCCACTGGTCATTGGTTACAATAGAACGTTCCCTCGGCATTTCCTGCCACTGGAATTGACTGTACCTAGAAATAGGTATAGCGGAACCTGTATGCAGGTCTAGATTATACATGAGTCCGGATTATACAGGATTACATAAAATGTCCGGTGTATACAGGTGTCCTGAGTATACAGTGTTCCCCCTAAATAGTTTACACAGAATATAAATACATTTTTTTTTTAATTATTTATTTTAATGAGGAAAACAGGCTTGCAACATTATTGTTATATATAATTCTTTGTGTAATGTTTTTGTAGTTTGATCCATTTCATGTAGTAAAATGCAATAAAATTGAATTGAATTGTATTTGTACTCACCGAATCCTCGTTGTAGATCGACGTTATCCGCCGGAGACTTCCTTGGGTTGTTCGCCAGTCGCTAAGTTAGGGGTCAATGCTGAGGTGTACCGAACTTTGCCTCATCGGAAGACAAAGGAATTTACTCTGAAAATGTAATTTTTGCAGTTACCGTTACATTTTCTATAGCAGAAAACCTGTTCAACAATTCATAGATAAAATATCTCTAACTTGCTACATGTACTGTCGATCCATGTCAAGACGTTTTTGTATATTCTGTCTTAGATTCGTGCCGATTCGTTGCGAGACTGTAACTGAACCGTTTCTTTACAAACAAAACATGAAGTCGTAATTCAACATTTTCTTACACACACCAGTCAAAATGAGGCTATAAACATAAGTAAGTATACTTTAAAAACAAGTTGTTTTTCTGGTTTTCTGACGGTACTTGCATAATTGGAACAATAACTACAAAACTGTTTTCTTGGTGGCTAATCAGTTGAATTTGTAGTTACCTGTACTTTAAGAAACAATAATGTCTGACTTCAATTTTTTTTCTCATCCATAACTTCTTGACATTTCTCAGTAAACTTTGTTCACGAGACACAATAAATACAATTACAAACATAAACACTGTTCGCTGAAGGCAAGGCAGGGTCTACCGGATATGAAAAAGGGAGGTCAGTCTAATGAGACTATACAGGTATAGATACTATAAAGTACGGGGCGCTGTTTGCTAAAAAAAAAAAAAAAAAGATCTCAAAGATGTTTGAAGTTCAACATTCGTGAGTCGAAGTATCGATGTTTCGAATTTGTCCTAATAGTTCGAAACATCGGAGTTTGTATAACGTACTGCGCTCTAGAGCAAATATTGCAAGACAGATTTTACTGTATATATTAGAGAGGTGACCTTTTAATTTCGAAGGTATTGATGAAACTTTGGCCACTCGAGTTGTTTCTATTTTATTAATAGAAAGGGTTTGTATATTAAAACAAGTAGATCATAACGGTATACTGACAGACTGCACTGATGTACATGTACCGGCTATCAAGAACAAATACTTTTTTTTTCATTTTTTTACACAATATCAGTCATAAATTGTAGTTTAATGCATTAAACATCGTTCATACAGCACGCAATTTCTTAACACGAAAACTCTGAAATAAATTTGAAAAATAAAAAGATAAAAATTAACTTTGTGCTAGATGGATTCTTTATAAATGTATTAAAAGGGCATTTAAACAGCTATCTGATTTCTGTTTCTCATTTAAACCATTAACTTTATGTGTTATTTCAGATTTATCGAGTAGATTGAATTCGGTTGTCATTTCAATCATAGGCCATGTTATCTACTGGCTATAAACCGGAAGTAGACGGGTGTTTAAAAGGAGACTTCCTTATTTATAAAGTTTGTACACCAAAGTGGGAGCAGCCGTTATTCAATACTTATGGTATTAAAAGTTAAAACAAGACATTATAAACTAGGTCTCAACATTTTCATAAATTTAATAGCAGAAAACAATTCGACTGGAAAGGATATTTATGAAAACATAAATTCACTGAATCACAAGATGTAATTAAACTAAATGTGTTAAGAAAGGCGCTAACGATAAGGAGTTTAGGTTTCCGGCAGTCATTATCACCAGTGCTCCGAACACCTCATACTAGTTATGTACTTGCTGTTCTTTATTTTCGATAAATGTATTTAAAGGGCACCTCCTTCAGTGGCGTAGCGTACATGTATGCTTGTATGCTCAAGCAAACACTAAAATGTTCAAGATTTTTGTTTTTTAATCATAGATTTTATTAAAATCTGTTTCTATGATTAATATCCGTCTCAATCATAAAAAAGGAAAGAAATAAAAAAATATTCTTGACCCTTTTAGTGTGATTAAATAGTGTTGTTATATCCATACACAGTGAAAATCTAGAAGGTTTATATACAATTATAAATATAAAAAAATACTTAGTGAAGTTCAAAACTAATATTATTCATATAAAAGTCTGGTTTTACTTGTGAATGATCAGACTTAAAGGATGTCCCAGAATCCGAGTTTGCTTCTAAGGCCTAGTAGAATTGTTTTCTTTTTCATCTATGGGAGGGGCTTTTTTCGTCTATGGGAAGGGTACCTCACCCTCCCACCCCTTCTCCCTCCCCCGGCGCTACTTTATGTGCTAGATTCCAACTTACTACAAGTTTCAAAATCCTCTCGGAGATAAAGTTATATATGGGAAAAAACAGGTAGCATCGTGTGTTCTATATTGATTACCGTACTTTCATTTGACTTACGGCTTAAATGATTATACTGACCGCTTTTATGTCCATCTCTGACCATCACAGCAGTATCGCTTAAATCTCCTTTCCGTCTCTATAATCCAACGACCACACAACACACGTTTTCTGAAAAAAAAAGCATACACCATTACATGTTTTTCCATGCAGTAGCGCTTGTGTACCACTTCGCGACGAAATGCTTAAAATCTTTCCGAATTATTACTTTTACACCTAAATTAAATTTAAATTCTGCCGGGGGCAGGTGCGACTATTGGTGTGTATCTGATCGGTAGGGTTTTAAGTCATGTTCTGTAATGAACCAGGCCGACAGAGGGACTAGTGGGAGACGATTTATATCGTTAATATTCATGTTTGCAGATAAAGATCCTGGGTTTAAAATGTAGGCTTTTTGTTTGAAAATCTCGTAAGCCAAGATCCGTTGAACGCTTAGATGTTGTAGCACTGCATGGGTACAATTTTATATCTAATATGTTTTATTACTTATGTCAAAATGAATTACCCTGTGGTGATTAAAAAGGTTGTTATTAACATATTTTATTTCATTTTTCTTATTTTATTTTTTAATATTTCGATTTTCATTGGTACATGTATACAATACGTAGACATCGTTTCAAGGTATTTGCAAAATTACGTGCTTATTTTTCCGGCTCCAACCGTAATGCAGTTCCATTTCCGTGATATCCGATGTCAATTGCTTTCACTATGAAAAAAAAGAGATAAGTTTATGCCTAAATCCTATATGATTTGCCATCACGCATTTTATAGGAGCTTTTGATTAAATGTCAGTCAGATGGTATCATAAGATTTCTGTCGCATCACCCGTTATTTTATAAATAACATAGTTCCGGTAATAAATGTTATTTAAGCTGGTTTTTAATACAATACTTATAGGTACTAAACTATAAAATAGGCGACATCTTCGTGAATACCTTGAACTTTGTTGACTTTATTTGTAAATCAATTTATTTCGGCATTAATACTGCGAGCTCGTCCTTCAAAATATCCGGAGATAATCCTGTAACAGCAGGTCGTCCTTGGATAAATTCTTATTAATCCTTCCCTACGTTATACCCGTGCCGCAGTGTAAGTTAGGATCTTCTCAGCCATTCGACAATGAGCGCTTCAGATTAACGGACTGTCTTAAGTTTGTTTATATATATATATATATATATTGCTTTTACAATATATATTGTATCCTATCTAAAATCCAATGCCATTATTATTTGCTGTTTACAATCATGATCAAGGTTTACAATCATGATCAAGGGTGGTCGGGTGACGCAGTGGTTAGCGCACTTGCCTTTCACCAAGGTGATCGGGGTTCGATTTTCCGATCGGACGTGAAAAGTTATGGGATCACCTGCCCGACCACGTAGGTTTTCTCTGGGTACTCCAGTTTCCTCCCACATTAAGACCCCCGCGCGGTAACGTCCTCGCCAACAAGGGTGATTAATATAAGCTGAAATAGCATGTTTCATAACAATTGTAAAATAAATAAAACAATTATTAAATCAAGAGAAATTCTTACAATATCATACACTAAAACTATTCACACAAGCTGTAGAGTCGAATTATTCCGACTTTTATGTCCAAGGTTTGCAATTAAAGTACATTTTAATCGTTTTAAAAATAGTTTAATGTGATGACGACACATTTGCGCATGACTACCTGTAAGACATCTGACAGGTGATAACACCTGTTGTATTCTCACCTGACAGGGGTAATTTCAATTAGCGACCCCGTACTCGACGTAACACCGTGTGTGGTACGAGCCTGCCCTGTAACATACGATACTCATAGTGACGCACACAGCTAAGAACCATCAACAGTTCTGTAAAATATACCAAAGTAAACAAGAAGCGGCATTTAGGACAATAAAATACAGAAATATTTTATACTTGTCAACTTGTTGTGATATGCATGGGGAGATTATGTGTGCTCAAAATACAAACATAAATAAAATGTGTACATATGCACGATATGGAAAGATAGCACTTAATTTTGTGGTCTTTTGAGTTGTTCTTTCAGATGAACTCATCAGATCTTGGATAATACAGGGACAGTATATTATACGTCCTTGATAATATGAAAAGTTTAACAAATTCACTGGTTAAAAATGCTCAGTTTTAGCAGGGTCCCTGGTTTTAGGGTTTAAAATCGGCAGTCTCTCAAAAATAGGGAGAGTTGCCAAGTATGATATGTAAAGAGAATATTTTGGTATAAAATAACTTATCTACCAAGGGTCATTTAAAACAAATGTAACGTCACAAAGAGCTGATCGCGGAATCTACGGAGCTGTATTTTTGAGCAGATCGCAGAATCTACGGAGCTGTATTTTTGAGCGGATCACGGATTCAACGGAGCTGTATTTTTGAGCGGATCACGTATTCAACGGAGCTGTATTTTAGAACGGATCACGGATTCTACAGGGCTGTATTTTAGAGCTGATCACGGTTTCTACGGAGCTGTATTTTAGAGCGGATCACGGATTCTACAGAGCTGTATTGTAGAGCTGATCACGGTTTTACACAGCTGTGTTTTAGAGTAAACAACATCCGTATACCTAAACTATTTGTGTAACAATTGCTCTATCGTGTCACCTCCGTCAGTGACCTGTACACCTTAGTTTAGGTCCAAAAATAGCTGTAACAAATTCTCAGGTCCCTTTGTTCGTTTATCGTCATGCATTCGTGAATATGAATATTATACCTGTAGCAATTGAAAATTCGTTTTGAATTCTGTGTTTTATTTGTTGAATAAATTATATAATTAGAATTAATTAATGAGAGTTATTATTATCATAATCAGTCTTATAACAGTAGGATATATTGTTTCTCCCACAACACATATACATATACGTGACGTCATCGCACGGGACTAGGAGTATGTTTATTCGTGTTTTACGTTCTATTAACAGCTATGGTCATTTAAGGACGTGCCAGGTTTTTGTGGTGGAGGAAAACCGGATTTCCCGGAGAGAAACCACTGACCTACGGCCAGTACCTGACGACTGCCCCACGTAGGCCCCGAACCCGTGACGTATTGGTGGAGGGCTAGTGGTAGCAGAATGTCAGACGCCTGAACCACATGGCCACCGTAGACCCCATTGGGAGTAAAAACACCGGTATGATAGTAAAGACTGAAACTGTCTCTAAGTATTTATTTTATTGATATTGTTTAGTTGGTGGTTCTTAACATAAACCTGACAAAAATATTTCAGAAATATATATGTGTCAATTAGATATTAGGACAGCATTTCAGAGTGACACATACGTGTAGTATCAGTTTCTTGTCAATTCTTGTCAATCAATTAACCGTCGGATATAATTTCGGAACCAATGTGTATTTTTCTCAGAAGAAGCGTCTTGACAATATTCACTTAGGCACGTAATTTTACAACCCTGATTCCGTCCTTGTCCCGTTTTCAATACCCGAGAACATTATGGCAGGGTACAGAGCGATTATCATTATTGGTGTAACTGACAAATATTTTACAACTGTCTATCAAAATCCTCCCTTTCATTATAGCTTCTCAGCTATTTTATGTTGTGAAATGCTCCTGATAGCATACTGAAAATTTAATTGCAAACAATGAATAAATGTTGCCACAAGATATACAAAAATTAATTTATCAACTACATGTTTTACACGATGTCAGAATATGTCGATGGGTATTTGAGCTTGTTTGATAGTTTCGGCTGGCCTGAGAGCCACCCAGTTAATTAAAAATTAAAAATGATAATAACAATAATACAAGCTTAAAAGGTATTTCTTGTACCAGTATGCATGTAACACAAGTAATATCCGCTTTACATGTAAGTATTTTTACTATCCATTGTTTGTATTGATTTTATCAGTTATATAAATTATTTTAGTATTATTCGTCATATGTGTTATTATCCGTCGCTTATATTGATATTATCCGTCATATGTGTTGATATCATCTGTCATATTTATTTTCATTATTCGTCATATTTATTGATATTATCCGTGATATTTATTGTTATTATCCGTCACATATATATATTGTTTTAATCTGTCGTATTTCAGAGAGATAGCACTATAAAGTCGGCACCAGATCCGCGCTATCACAAGGAGGCAAGTACACCAACATACCCTGTCTTCAGCACAAATACACACAAACACGTTTACACAACACACATGGTGGCACGTCTTTAAATGACCTTAGATATTGATGGAACGTTAAACTCTATTAAACCAAACCAAATCGTTTTTTTATATTGATATTATCCGTCGTATATATTGATATCGTAAATGTTAGGTTACTTTGAGCTTAGTTTTGTCTTTACACCATACAATAACACACTGAATCTCCAAATACCAGAAATACATGCTGGACAACATAACTTAACCTCGCTATGTCAACATGGTACTCGTACACGCACGTGAGCGATAAAAACGAGCACTGCACCCACACTCGGCATCTTTCATTTCATGGATCATATAGAGCGCCGATCGTCAGCATTTTATTGTCGGCGAAGGCAGTCCGTTCAACTCTTTAACATCTCCAGGAAGGACGAGATACATATATCACAGCCGTACTGGTTATCCTGCCAACGTCAGATAGCGACGACGGGGGGAAATTGGGGCGACGTTACGGCGAGGAGAAGTTCTCGCATGATACCGGGAAGGAGACATTAGGGCGACGCTACGGCGCGGAGAAGCTCGCGTAACGATATCTTGAAGGGGAAATTCGGACAATGTTAAAAAGTGGACAACTTCGCGTAATGTGACTGGGAGAGAAACATAAGGGCGACGTTACGTCGTGGTGAAGTTCGCGTAACGTTGGCGGGAGGAGACACTGGGGCAACGTGACGGCTCGGTGCACTTCGCGTAATGATACTGGGAAGGATACACTAGGGCGACGTTCGCGTAACGTAAACGGAAAGGAGACACGGGGCGACGAAACGGCGTGGTGAATTTCGCGTAACGATACCTGGAAGGGGATATCCGGGCAACGTTACAGCGTGGAGAAGTTCGCGTAACGTTACCGGGAAGGAGACATTAGAGCGTAGCCATACGCTTGGAGGGAGACATTTGGGCGACGTTACGGCGTGGAGAAGTTCTCGTTAA